CTTTCTTTTTTAAAATAAATGATAGATCCTTTTTCAATCATCATCAGGATGCTGAACATTCAAGCTCTCTTTATTCAGTGTTTTTTTGAGTGCTGTAGTACAGTCAATGATTATGACTTTGAACTGATCCAGTTCACAAAATGTTTTGATGATAACTCCTTTTAGTATGATTTCATGTATTTCAGCTTCTGGGTATGTACGCCAGGGAGAGAAAAGGCTTTTTACAATACTATTGTAATGCTGTTTGCCCGTGTCAGGACTGGAGACCAGCTGTTGTCACTCGCTGTCTTCAATAAGCCAATAGCTGTTTTCAGTACCTGGGTCCTAATCCCTGAAGTCTTGAAAAAAAACCCAATCATCCACATGCAAGGTAGTGTCCACAGCCATACTATTTCTTGCCTGGAGTAAAAAACAAGTGTCTGCCTGGTTATACAGCTGGCAGCTGGGTAACAAGAGGTTGGCATCACAAATTCAGAAAATTGCTGAGGAAAAAAATTAAAAAAAAAAAAAAGAGAGGAACCAAGCGACTTCTGCACATGAGCACCTCAAGATCTCATTACGTTTAACAGAGATGGAACATCAAAGCAATGATGCATGTTAAGCTGCTCTTCACGTCAAAGATGGCCAAGGACCAAGGGCTGGGAGCCAATAGCTCAGAGACCTGGTGGTGACAGATGACTGGACATGAAAACAGTGGTTAGAACTTTCCACACCCCATAATACTTCAGGCACATGGCAGGACAGGAACATTTTTCACAGGTAGTACCTTTTTTAGTAACAAGCTCTCCATGCCTCTAGAAAAATACAAGCTACTGCAATGGATAACTCTTCATGCTCTGTCAGCAACCAGTGTGTTTTCCTGCAAGGCATCCTGTGTGTTAGGCCTGACTTTGCTTGCATGCAGGTCAAAGACAGGAAGACTTTGTTCCACTTCACAGTGTGGCTTTTGTCTTTTGTTTTTTAGGCAGAGAAACGGCAGAAATGGCAGGAGCGTCAGGACCGGCAGAAGCAGTTTACTGAGGCAGATGATGGAGCTGTCAACCCTGCTTTCAACCAAATGGAAATGGAGGATACTAACAAATAAGGACGAAGTCAATGGCCTTCATATATGATGTGGGGCCATGTCAGCCCCCAAGGAGAGTTTTGTTCATTTAAAGCACTGTTGATATTTTTGTGCCGGGTCAGTTACCAGCTCTGCTGGGGTCACGGGCAGGCATCTGCTGAGCTCCATGGCACTGTTACCTTTGTTTGACCTTGACATTAGTAAAGAAAGGAATGAGATCTTTCTTGTACTTGCTCACTTTGTCTCTCACTCTGTGTCTTGTTGACAGGGCTTAAGGCAGTGTTTCTGTGTGAAGTATTTGCCTGATATTCTTCAGCCTCCTGCAAAATATCTGCTTTCAATCTCAGTTCACTCTCAGAGTATTTTTTTATTTGGTAAGAGTGCTGTTCCCCCAGACATGGCTGTTTTTCTGGTTTTTGTTTTGTTTGGTTTTTTTTCTTTTAAGGCATTGAAAGCATGAAAAGATTAGGGCTGTGGGACCTTATCAGATTACAAGGAAACAGTGGGACTTTTTTTTTTTTTAGTGCAGGAGGTGTATTTAGTGTCATCTGGTTCCTTTGTAGAACTGATCCTGAGAGCATATTTATTTTGCTGGTTTTGTCATATGTGTTTGTTTATATTAGGCTACTTGTTCCCTGTATCTCCTTCTCTGTGCTCACTGCTGGAAGATACCAGAGTGTCTTTGGTGATGGATAGAGGCGAGAGTCAGCAGTATCCTTCCCTTCACACCGTGTCTCCCTCTTCTGCCCTGTCTTGCACTTACACAGTGATCACAGAGGCTGTCATTTACTAAAGGTTGCAGGGTATGGGCTGGCTCCCCCTCCTGAGTGGACTGCCAAGAGAAGCACATCCACTCCAGACCATGCACTGCACTTGTGGCTTGGGAGGGTGAAGACCCCCATTACTTCTCTGTGCTTTCTGGTACAGCGGGGAACAGACTCGGACCCTCTGTAGTGTTTTTGTGCTGCAGAGTGTTTGCTGTGGCTATTCATGGATGTTTAAAACTCCTCTACAGCAGCAAATCGAAGTGGAAAATAAAAGCTGTTGCAGGACAGTTGAGCTGTGAAGCTTATCAAGCAGTCATGCTTGAAAACCAAGTGAAAAAATGACTGTGTCTCTTAAATGCTTTCTAAAAATTATGCTGTGTTTGTGCCAGGAGCTGAGCTGCTGTAGCTTGGAATATGACACGGTGCTAGTTTATCTACCTTGACTGAGGCCATTTAGCATCTAAATTAATTTATTTCTAGCGCCTGTGACACAGGGCACCTGGTGATCTACCACACAGGATGTACTGACAAGATCAAAAAACATTAGGAAGAAAAAAATATGGAGTCCCAAGGGGCAGACCTCTACTAGAGGAGTACAGGTTGGACAGATGCTGTATGGGTGGTCATCAGGGGTGTTTCTCCATTGGCTAACCCAGAGCAAAACTACATGATGAAGGCCGGTTTCCTTGTTGCCTCACAAAGCACTGGTTTGTGTGACCCAGTGTGGGGTTTAGGGCCAAGCCCTTCCACTTATTTCTTTGCTACAGCTCTCTGACTATGACCAGGTTAGTGCCTAAAGCCCCTGTGTGGAAGGGCTGTGAGTGAGAAGGATAGGTCCTGTGAGTTATGCCTTGTGTCCGTATAGCTAAGATCTGAGACAATAATAGCACCCTGAATCAAGTCTTCTGGGATTCAGGACAGGGGTCTCTGTTCTCAGACTATCCTGGTCACTCTGAAGCAGCTAGTCCACTGACTGAATGGGCTGGCAATGCTTCTCAAGCTTCAGAAGACAAGTGCAGCTCATTCAGCCTCATGCTTTGTCTTCATGACGCAGAAATAGATTCTACGTTTTCTGCTATGGAATAGTTCTTGAGGCTTGGAATATAATAATTTGTCCTTACCAGGTACTTTCAGCACACAGACCTGAAAAAGGGTAAGTACTGCTATGTCCATGCTGCTGTGGAGCACTGAAATCAAGTGGCCTGGTGTGCCTCTGTGTACCTGTGCACAGAGTAAGCTGAGGAGTGAGAGAGGAGAAGCCTGCAGCAGGCCCTTGACCTGTGTGCCTGCTGGTGTGTCTGCAGTCCTCCTGACAAATGTGCTGAACTCTCATCTGATTGTGCTTCTCCAGAGGCTGACAGACCAGTGTTAAACAGCATCAGCATGGGCCTTTGTTGCCCCACTCTGTGCCAAGATCACAGCCTGCACTGTAAGTGTCTTTATAAAAGCAGCAAGATAGTTCTTGGGATCTCCATCACACTCCTGCACCCCAGTCCTTCAGCTCTCCCAGCTAAAAGCTCACCTAATAAAGAAATGCAGGGTGCTCAAAGCCAATTCCACAAGAGTGGGAGAACTCCACACTGTCCAAATTATATGCATCATATGGCTGGGTTAGAAGACAAGTAGGAACACTAAAAAAAAAAAAAAGTAAAACCATAATGGGAACATTTTTTACTATGTTAACACACAAATGATCCACAGAGAGAAAGTAGTGATGGATTTTGTCTGTTTCTTGGTCTGCATTTAAATTTCCTTCCACCTGACTGGTCTTTTTGCTTTCTGAATGAAAAGGTAAAAAGAAAATAATTCATGAATGCCAAACAGCAAATATTTCATATGCATAATTTAAAGTTTATTGCGTCACATTATACAAGCATTAAACATGGCTTTATGTTGATGATTAATTTTTAAAGTGTGAAAACTTGACATTCTTCTCCATAGGATTTTTCTATTTACAAATAAACAATCTCTCTATATAATTTATATATATATTTTATATGCTAAATAACATAACTCCCCTCAGAAAGATTAAAAAAAAACAACAACACTTATTTGTAAACAGGGTTTCTGTTGTAGTATTTGGTGGCTTGAATGCAGATGATGTTCTATACCTAGGATTTTTCTTTTGTCAAAGTACCCAGGTTGTTCATTTACATTTTTATTCTAAGATCTGTAAAACCAACATGGGACAGAATGCAAAAAACGTAGCAAACAGGCTGAAAAACAGTCCCAATATACAATATTTTTTTTCCTTGGTTGTAAAAGCTGGCGTGTAACTGCTTATGTTACTTGCTGTCAAGAATGGCCAAGGAGATCAATCCTATGCTGATTGCAAGATGATTTCACAGTAAATCCTTGTGTGTGCTGTCCTGCTTGCTATGTAACATGTCTGTGGCATGCACTGAGGTTTCATTTTTTCTCATTCCCTTGAAGGTAGTGCTCTTGTGGAGCTGGAATAAGTAAACGACATATAGGACGGTCACCTGGAGGTTTAAACAAAACCCATCATCAGATCAGAAATAAGGGAATGGTATAAATTTGCTATCTAGAGACCTTTAAAATTGCATTTATTATTATTAATATTATCATATTATTTGTATTATATTTTCCTAATTAATGAAATAAACAAGAAAGTGGTCATCTTTCCTGATTGTTCTGCTATATAGGTCTGAACAATTCAGGGAACTCTTTTCTGCAGGCCAGCAGCACAGAAATCCCAGTGGGTTGACTGGTCAATGTTAAGTGACAGAAAAGTACTTAGGATCTGCCAGGGAGGTCAGAGCCCCTTTCAGTATCATACTCAGCCCAAGCTTAGTAAGCAGCTAACTTGTTCTCTTGTTTAGAGCAGAACAGGACACAACTACCAATGTATTGTCATGAAAATTAATCATATTGTAGCTATGTTGAAAACTAACCTCAAAAGCAATTTTTATCTATAGTATTTCTCCTGTAGTTTGTTTTGGCACAGTATATAGTGGTGGTTCCTCTGGGGTTGAAGTCAGTTGATATTCAGCTCAGTTCTGGGAAGTTACTGAGCTCTACATTGACAAAGCGATATCTTACTGCAGGAGTTTGCAAAGGGTCACACGTGTACAGGTGACACTGATTTAATGCATGACTCACATCTCACTTTACTACTTAGCAAACAGCTTCTAAGCTCTTGTCATCTGTTGGTGTAGATATTAAACAGAGGGCATGCAACTAATCTGACTGCTCATGTGAATTTGATCTGAATGTAATTTTTGCACAGCAGTCCTGTCTGGGAGCCCCCAGGCTGCAGGTGCAGCACACACCCATGGGTGGTGGGTGGTAAATACTGACCCATCTGCCAGGTGTGTATCAGGAGGTGACATCGCCTAATCCCCACCCACTGTTCACAAAGAAATATCCCATTTCTCCATTGCCCACATGGGATGTGTCCCCAGCTGCTGTAAGCTGAAGAAAAGCTGAGTAAGTTCACTTCTCATTAGGCAGGGATACACCCCACAACCAATAGTTGTGTTCCCCACTTGTTTTGGCACTGAGTCAACAGAGAACAGATTAATCCTGAAGTTCATTCAGTGCTTATGTTGCCTCATGGGTCCTTCAGACCAGGACCAGGAGCACCTGATAAATGAAAGCTGCTGTGCATTTATCTTCTTCATGTAGGGTTATGGGTCTCCACTGGAAGAGGTTCCTTGCTGGGAGGAAGTAATCTACAGGTGGGCAGTGGCTACAGAGATGAGGGTGCACATATTTTCTTCCAACCCTGTCCTTCCTCTAGCCATGTTACTTTTCATTATAACCTTCCTCCCTGGTCCCCACGGAAATAGCACAGTTCTCCCTTGCAGTGGGCAAAATAGATTTAATTTGGCAATGTGTGGGCTTGGTGCAAGTGATCCTGATGTCTTGTGGAGGCTGAGGCATTTGTCCAAAAGGTCTTGCACTGTGTGGTCTGTCCAGAAGAACAAATTCGGGAAGAATTTGTACAAACAGCTTGCTGAATTTTCCTTCCTTTTCAGTATCTTCTAACTAATAAGGTCAAAATTCCTTAAGATTTTTGAGACTACTGTAATTTTTATGGAGCCCCAGTTATTTGGAAAAGTGCCAGGTGAACGGCTCTGCTTTAGGATTATGTATATCTAGCTGTATCTTCATCAGAACATAGGCTTGCTTCCACTTGGCTTCTTAGTCTTGGCTTTTGAACAGCTTTCTTCGTGTTGTGTCTGATTATGCCACTGCAAGTTCTGCAAGAATTGCACTGTTACCACTTTG